TTCTGCACCACATTCAGAGCTCTCTCTTGAACACAGCCTTCTTGACAGCCATCAGCCCGGAGGCTGTTCTCCTGCCCAGATGAAGCTGGCTGCATTTGAATTCCACACAGGCGAGGAGGCTGTGTTAGAAGAAGGCTCACTGTATGCACAGTGTGTCTTTGAAAACGGTGATTCGGCCACCCCCTTCAATAATTTGTTTGCAGTTTGGCATCTTCCCTTTGGGTTAACGAGCTGTGTTTGTAAAAGGCGTCACCCTGATGCAAGAGAATGGCAGCCAGCCAGCTGCACCGTCGCCTGCCATTTGGCATGGCAGTGGAAGATTGAACTGGCCTAGATGGTGAAGATTAACCTGGGTCTTGTTAATATAAAAAATAACCTATGGAAGTGGTTGATTTGGGCTGTCCTGACCTCCACTCGTTAGCCCACCCAACTCTCATTAAGCTTAGACTGATGCTTTGATATGCAAGTGAATTTAATCAGCCAATTGGAGGCTTTCAGATGCTTTAGTGCAGAGAACCACTGTGTGCGAATCACGTTTGAGCTGACTGCGTGCGGTGCAAGAGAGCCCGTGGGATTCGCCTGCATGTGTGTTGGGGATGGAACTGCAGCCTGTCCTGCCGGGCTCCACGCCCAGCCCCTGGGACTCTGGGCCAGCCACATCCATGGTCCTGCTGTGCCAGTTTTTCCTCAAGTGCTGCAAGCCTGGAGCACCTGTGGGCCCCCCGGAGATGCTGGACCATGGATGGTACCTGCTTTACCGCCTTGGCGAGGCTCTCGGAGCGTGCAGCAATGTGGGGCCTGAATTCTGAGCTTTAGGCCATGTCTGCACTTACACCATTGACACGCTGCTGCAGAAGCAATTTAAAGCAAAAGCCTGGTCGTGGCACCAATGCTGGGAGCTGTTTACACTGGTGCCTTACTGCGCTGTCACTTGCTGCCCTCGGGGGAGAGGAGGAGGGTGTTTTTTCACACCCCTGAGCCAGAGAGCTGCAGCACAGGAAAGTGGCAATGGAGATGAGCCCAGAACGTCCCTTTCCTTCCAGAACTGAAGTGGGCTTTGGAAGCGAGTACGGGATCAGATTGCTGCACACTTGCCCTGCTGCCTGGAGTCCCAGGCTGTGAGGAAAGTGAGCCTTCTGCTCCGCACACGTTGCCCTGCACGGTTTATTCCCCGACGCTGGCAGAGACTGTCCTAGCACCGTTCGGACGTAACTGAAGAAAGAGAAATCAGTGTGTGGGGCTGTAGTCTCTTAATGTTGTTTCCCTTCAGTTCTCTGACCTCAGCACTGGGGACAGTCTGTGTTCCTACTGCCAGTTTAATCTGAAATGTCCTGCTCTAAATGCTCATTTTTCCAGCAGCCGGAACTGATTTGCACTGTGGCGGTACGTGTGTGGCGTACACGTGAGCTTTTCTCTGAAGGTTTTTTATTTTTACCAGTTAAGCTCCTTTTTCATACATTAAAAGCCTCTAACAAATGCTGGGGCACTTACCTCTGGGCCGGGAGAAAAGATCTGATTTGGAATTAGGAATTCTTCTGCGAGACGTTGTGCCAGAAAGGTGAAGTTATTGCCACGTTGTCCCAGCCGAGAGAAGTCTGCGCTCAGATACCGAGAGCTTCCCTTTTCCCACCTCCCATGCCACATTCCTTCCCAGACATTACGAGTAGAATCTCCTTGTGATCGTTGCTGGGCAGGCACCGTTGGGTTGGGGTCCTTCACACACTTTGCAAGCAGTGACCCCCGAGCGGAGGGCACTGGGGCTAGGACGGCACCCCTTTCCCAGGGACCTGGAAGCCCAGAATGGTTAATCGCTTGTCTTGGTCAAGGTGAAGAGCTGAAGAGGGAAACCCGGAGTCTTACTCCTGAGTTCTTTGTGCTCCCCCGTTACACCCATTTCCTCTTCGGCCGGAGGAATTCCCTGGGGAAGCCCTTTGGGAGAATCCTTAGCTGGAGGGAGAAAGAGAAGAGCTTTTATTTGATGCAGTGACCCGCGTGTGTGCGTGGGGGGCAAGTGTAAGCCAGAACAGAGGGAACGCGCTGCTGAAGTGTGCCCACTACTGCTCATTCGAAAGCACCCTCGAAAGACGAGCTTTGAAATATTCGTTCACAGATTTCAGGGGACTTAGCAGGAGCAAGTTCCACCTGGAGCACCTTCTGTTTGGCCAAAGCAGCTTGGGCTGCTGACTCTGGGCAGGAGGTTGAAGTGCGGGGCATGTGCATGGGCGCGGCGATGAGGCAGCCCCCATTTCGGGCTCTGAACCGGGTGGGTTTGCAGTAGCGGTGGGGGGAGAGCTCAGAGGCGCACCAAAAGGGCCTCTAGATCGACTCCACCGCAGCCAGGTGTCACTGGTGCAACTGAGCTGCGACGGTCTCAGTGGGCCCCAGCAGCTGGGGGAATTGCTGGCGGCTCCACGAAGAAGTTTTGCTGACCAGCTGCGCCGCCCAGCGGGGTGAAAAGTTCACACCCCTGAGCAGCAGAGTGAAGCTGGCCTAAGAGCCCTGGGCCGATAGAGGAATGTTTCTGCGGGCTTGGCTGGTTCGTGCCACCGACAGAAAAGCCTCTTCTCTCACGCTCGGACGTGCTGATGCTCGGCGTCGCTGCTCTGGAGCAGGCAAGCGTAGAGCGGGCCTTGCAGGAAGGAAGGAGGGAATACGCGCAGCTGCCTGGGAGTGTGCGGGATGTAAGCAGCAAGGAGCGAGAGGGGTCGTAGAAAGGGACCAAGGGGCAGTGACAGGAATGGGATGGAACTAAGCGCAGGAAGTTGGCACAACTGCGAGATGATTGGCGGGAACAGTCTCTCAAGGGAAAGGGCACTATTTCCTCACTAGGATAGACGGGGCAAAGCACTGGACGATTGTGTGCTGGGGGGCGGTTGGACAGACTGGTGCCTTTCCATTTCTATGCTCTGGGCCTCGGACAGTGTTGCAGCTGGTTTGTGTAATGCACAGAAACGGGCCTGTGTTTTCTGTTGGGGTCTGCCTGTCTGATGGTGCTGGTCTTTAATTCCCACAGGGGGTGCTCTCAAGTGGGGATTATCAGAGCACTGATCGAAGCCGGCATCCCCGTTGATATGATCGGAGGAACTTCCATTGGCTCCTTCATGAGTGCCCTGTATGCTGAAGAGCGGAGCTATAACCAGATGCGGATCAAAGCCAGGCAATGGGCAATGGTAAGAACATAGAATAAATGTTTGCTCTTCCACTGCCAGTATGTAGGAGTTTGGAGGCCAGCCGTAATGCACGGAAGGAGCAGCCCACGGTCGGAGTCCGGCGTCTGGGGGTTAGCCCACGTGAAGAGGGGTGTTTGAAATGGCTCTTTGTTTGGTCAACAAAGAGGGCAGGAAGAGAAGCTGGTAGTGCCTGATGCAAAGTGCCCGCTCCTAGAGCGTGAGATGCTAGTGGGCAGAGCACAGGGCTGCTGGCCGGAGACAGAACTGCTGCTGGCTGGAGCGAGGCATGTTGGGCTCGGGACAGAACTATTCTCCATAAATCAGAAATCGGATGTTTTGATCCTGGAGAATATTTAGCACGTCCCTTGGGAACACAGAGGCCCGGGGCACTCTGCTGCCTTGCTCGTGTTTGAAATGTTACGCTGCATCAGCAGGACACAGGCCTCGCTCCGGGGCTGCGCCCTGCTGCGCCTGGCTTTTCTCTCTCTTGGGGTGGGGGTGAGATGGGGACAGATCACAGTAATGCATTCTGTGCTGGCAATGGACAGGACAGGAGCTTGGGTTTAAAGGAAAGTCTCCCAGTCCACTACTGAAGAGGGGCTGCGTGATAGTCACCCCCAGAAACCAGTATCCAGCCTGGCCCTCCAAATGTGTTATGCATTTGGCACCTCAGTCTGAGGATCTTTGTCTAGAGCAGGAGGCAGAGGTGAGAGAACCCCCCCAGTCCTGGAAAATCATCAGTTCAAGTATTCTGAAAGCAGAGATGCTGGGATCCTCGTGAAGAGCCAGAGAAACCAGCTACAAGTGGTAGCATTTCAGCAAGCAAAGCCCTAGGCTGCCCGAGGGGACTGGTACATTTCCCCTACCCTAGTGATCAGCTGGGTCCGTCTGATGACTGCGTGGAGACCCACATGGCTTCAGCATGTACCCCAGCCCTCCTCTCCACGCGGCTGTATCTGTTTGCACAGTGGGTAGCTGGTGTTTACTGTTGCTTTTTGTCTTTTTATGTGCTGGAGTCTGTTTTCTTTCCAGGTCTGACCCTGTAACTTTCTCTCTCTCACTTCCCCATGCTGTCCTTTTTGAATAGAAGTGATTGACTAAGGTAATTGTTCTATAAGCTAACTAAGAATCCAATGTCTGAAGTAAGAGGTAGCCCCAGTGTTCCAGAGGCCAGATACTGCATTAGGGAGGAACAGAATAATTAAGTTTTTAAATATATGAAATGCCACGAAGCTCCACTTAGCTTTGGGCTGACTGTTTAAATTGCCGTGGATAATCTGTTTGGGGAATTATTGATTAATAAGCTGTTTTTTAAAAAGCACTAAAAAACACCCAGAAGACTGCACTAGCAACTGATGGTAAAAGAGAGCCGCTGGGATCTGTTGATTACAAACTGACTTAATACATTGATTTATTTCTAGCTTGTACATAAACAATGTTTCCAGTTTGGTTTTTTTCTAATGATGGAGTGTCCAGGCTGGACGCTTGCATCTTGTGGAAGTCAGCGAGATCTGCCCCTAGCATGTTGCAGAGCTACGCTGACATCGCCTTCCGCAGGTAGCTTCCTCCGTTGCAGTCAGCTGTGGGTTTGGCTGCTTTCCTAGCCGATGTCAGAGTTGCACAACGAATGGTCTGTGCTGTAGGTTTTAGTCCTGAGACAATATTCGTGTGCAACAAGGATGTGTCAACCTCCGTGCCCAAGGCTGTAGCCTATTATGGTTTTCCCCCATCCATTCCCAGCTTCTGACAAACAGAGGCTAGGGACACCCTCCCAGCCCATCCTTACCATCAGCCATTGATGGGCCTAACCTCCATTAATGTATCTAGTTCTTTTTTGGTTCCTGATGTAGCCTTGGCCTTCACAACATCCTCTGGCAAGTTGTTCCACAGGGTGACTGCGTTGTGTGAAGAAAAACTTCCATTCGTTTGTTTTAAACCCACTCCACTGCTTACCGATTCATTTCATTTGGTGACCCCTAGTACTTGCGTTATGAGATGGAATACATTTCTTATTTACTTTTTCTACACCAGTCATGATTGCATAGACCTCTATCAAATCCCCCACCCCTTAGTCATTTCTTTTACAAGCTGAAAAATCCATCTTACTAATGTCTCCTTAAGCAGAAACCATACCATTCCCTACTCAATTTGGTTGCCTGTTTCTGAACCTTCTCCAAGTCAATATATTTCTTTGGAATTGGGGCAAACAGTACATCTGCATGCATTCAAGATGTGGGTGTATCATGGAGTTAGAGAGGCAATAAGATATTTTCTGTCTTATTCTCTATCCCTTCCTTAATGATTCCCAGCATTGTGTTTGCTTTTTGATTGCCGCTGCACATTGAGAGGATGTTTTCAGAGAACTACCTACAATGATTTGAAGATCTTTCTTGAGTGGCAATAGCTAATTTAGACCCCATCATTTTATACATGTAGTTTGGAAAACATAATCCCATGTGGACTACTTTGCGTTTAGCAACATTAAATTTCATCTGCCATTTAATTGCCCAGTCACCCAGTTTCAAGAGATCCTTTTGTATCTCTTTGCAGTCTTCCTGGGAATTAACTATCTTTAGTAGTTTTGTATCAACTGCAAATTATACCACTTGATTAATTACCCCGTTTTCCAGATCCTTTATGAATATGTTGAATAGAACTGGCCCCAGCACAGACACCTGGGGGACATCACTGGTGTTCCTTATATGCTGTGCATTTGTGCAACCATCTGGGAGAGATTCACATGCTACCCAGCTGATAGCAGAGCCCGCACAGGCAGGTTTTTTGTCTGTATTGGTGATGCACGTTCTCACGATCTGTGTAGTTCCCCTTTCTGAAATGAAATGCCAGTGTTGGGCTGCTGTGGTGTTTTTCCTGCTCCTGGCATGTTACCATAATGTAATGAAATGTTACTTTTCCATAGCGGTCCAGCTGCAGCCGCTTCTTGGCTCAGGTCCTGTGCCCCGCTTCGGACTAAATCAAGAATTACCTCTTCTCTCTTGGGTTCCAGGACCAGCTGCTCCAAGACATTTCTCTCTACAGCCCGTCCTGAGGTGACACGTACCCAGTTGGAATCCTCCTTTATTACCAAGCGTTTTATGTGAATAGCCTCTCTGAGCATTTCACAGTCACCGTCCCCATGCAGGCCAGGTTGGCGCTATTCTACCCTTACTGCTCCGCTCTGAGAGCATAGAATCGCCATCCATAGAGAGTCTATGGAACAGATTGGGCCATTTAAGATTTTTACTTCATTTAATTCTACCCTTTCTTTCGCATACAGTGCCACCCCCACCAGCATGACCCGTTCTGTCCTTCCAGTATATTTTGTATTCCTGTGTCCCATTGATTAGCCTCATCCCACCACGCTTTTGTGATCCCTTTTGTATCGATATCCTCATTCATTACAAGACACTCTAGTTCCCCCACCTTATTATTTGGACCTCTAACATTTGTGTATAAGCACTTTGAAAGCTTGTCACTGTTTAGCCGTCTGCCGTTCCCTGGTGTGATTGGATCTCATTTGCATTTGACTGTTTCTCGTCAGATCTTGCCTGTGTTTTATCATCTTCCATTCTCTCCTCCTTAGTAGGACACCGAGAATCTCTCTTAATGGACCTTCCCCTAGGGGTTGTCTCTGTTCAATCCTTGTGCTCCTCCGCACCTGTCGGCTTTTCCCAGCCCTTAGTTTAAATACTGCTCTACGACCTTTTTGATTTGAAGCGCCAGCAAGCGTACAGCTGAGAGGCGGCAGAAGTTGGTGGTCAGTCTTGAGTGAGTGCTGTTCGGTCAGCTTCAGATCTAACCAGAGCCAGGCCGTGCAAGCCCCCGGATTTGTTAGCCTGGGGTGGGCCTGGCATGGGGCAGCAGCAGGGGGCAGCTGCCCTGCACTCACCACCATGGTAGGAGCCATGAGAAGTGGAGTGACCCAGCAGCCTGCTCCGCTGCACCACCATCTCCCATCCGGGTCCCCCTCCACTGAGCCCTCTGCCCAAGTCCCACTTCGCGCTCCCCAGCCACTCACCATGGTCCACGTGGCAAGTCTGGCTTCCGCCAGCCACGCTCTGGCCCCACAGCTCTCACTGCTGCTTAGCCCGGACCCTTCGGCACAGACGGTCCATGCTGCCCCTGCTCCTTTGTGCTGGGTGTGGACTCTATGGGTACGTCTACACTGCAGCGCTAGTTCGGGATATTCTGGTGTCCCGAAATAGCTATTCCGCGACTTGCCAGCGCGCCCATTATTTCGAAATATCTTTCAAAATAACGGATGCGCTGTTCGGACGTCCCTGTAAACCTCGTTCCACGAGGATTAAGGGATGTTTCGGAATAGCACTTTATTTCGAAATTTGGCGCTGTGTAGGCGGCGATGTGTAGGCAGCACCAAATTACAAAATATGCTATTTCAAAAATAACTCGAAATGAGCTACGCAATTTGTGTGGCTCAAATCGTTTCAAGATAAGGGTGCAGTGTAGACGCACCCGACAGGACGTCGGGACGAGCAGGCGTGACACTGGGTGCTACGTTTCTGGAAAGTTCTGTTTCACAATTGAAGTGTAACCCAGAAGCTAATGGGTTGTCTGGGGTAGTCCCCCAAACCGGTTTCTAACCATGTAAAAGGCGTTTTGGAAAGGTGCCTGGTGTTCACCACCCAGAGCAGGCAGACTCCTTCCTTGCAGTGTGAAACGTGCCTCGCTCTGTCTCTGGAGCCAGGGCCAGCCAGGTCGTGAGTAGGGCTGGCAAACGCTCCTCACCCTCTCCAAGCCGGCCGTGTGGAGCTAAGGCATCCCCACTGCGTAGGCGTTCCCTCGCCAGCTGCTTTTACCCTTTACATGGCCGCGCTTCCTCAGAGCAGCAGTGACTGAGCGAGTTGAGACACAACTAGCTGTTGATTATGAATCGTTTAATGGACTGCACCCATCCAGTTCTTGAAGCAATGGGCTGTGTTAACCCTCCACAGTTCCTGCCTGCTTAAGAGATTTTGGCTAATAAAAAGCTAATTAATTGAGGAGGAAAATAGCAGATGTGGTATTTGAAAATGACAGTCAGGAAGGAAGATATCATTTGCATATTCAGATGTCTTGCATGGAATTCTAATTGAATGTGGATTATATGCGGAGACAAAGCTCCAGACTTGTGTCCGTGGCTCCCACGCGTCCAGGTGGAGTACGCCTGACTCCCAGGCTCTCGAGGTCTGCAGGGAAA